TACGCAGAGTGGAAAACCCCGGAGCGGAGGTACAAGATGATCGCACTGCTTCTGCTCCTGCTGTGGATCCTACAGCAGGCGACGGCGGAGCCGAGCTGCAGCTGCAGCCACCGCCGCGCTGACTATCACCATTCCTACGGCAGAGATGCTGAATGGTCTGTCCCAGGCCACTGCCTCGGCAATGACAATGCAGAACATCATCAACGGCCATTTTCCTCGTCACCAGCTGGAGAAGATGGCGCCCATTTCCTGCTCACCACCCTTTCCCCTCTTCCCTGTTGGGGATTGGCCCAGCAGCCTGCTTAGAGTGGTGCGTGACACCTATCCTCTTAAAGGTCACGCATGATACTGTCCCGGATTGGTTGGGTGACTGAATATAAGGGAGCCCGCCGGGAGGGAGAAGAGCTTCTCGACAACTGCTGTAACCGCCGCGAGAGATTAGCCTAGAGAAGAATCAAGACCTTGGGCGTGTTGCTTCGGTCCCTGAAGGGTCGCAACAGTCTGAGCCCCAAATTCCTCTCTTCATACATGCCAATCCCTTTGCGAGGCCTGTAAATACTTCCTTTAAAATGGATCTGAAAACCGATTTTCCTCTCCACTGCTATTCCTGTCCTATCCCCTCCATCTGCAACCAGTGCAGGAAGATCTCTTAAAAATGTAAATTAAAGCTTGCTCCTCCTTGCTTGAAAACACTCTGGCTTCCTATTTCACCCAGAATAAAATCTAAACACAGAATAAAATCCTCAACACCGTCTGAGCGATGGCTCTAAAATGCACGTCTGACCGAGTCCAGTCCTGGAGCCTGGGGGGCTCCACACACTCACCCTTACCTCTTCTCCATCCTTTCATCTCTTGAATTCCCCTCCATCTGTCCCCCCATGAGGCCTTGGAGGGCTCCTTCCTCTTTCTACAGGCTTCCCTGTCTCATCCTGCTCAACCTCTAGCTAAGGTCTCCTCCTCCAGGAAGACTTCCATGACTACTTCCCATCCTTCTGGACACCACACCATGGCCACTCACCTGCTGCACTGGCTCGACAGTCAGCTCCAAGTAGTGACTGATGGCTGCCATTGTCCTGAGGGAGCCGCAGTGTGGGAGTGTGGTGAGAGGCACCCAGTCTGAATTCTTTCAAGTGGAGACAAGGAGACAGAAACAGGAATTCTTAAGGTCAGGAGACATTTTCTAAAAACAAGGTCCCATTTTCTTTAAAAGAGCTCCTAAAGAGAAGACAAGTAGTGATTCTACAGCATCTTACTACGCTGATGGACAGTGACTGTAAGGCAGTTTGTGGGGGGGACTTGGTGAAGGGGGGAGCCTAGTAAACATAATGTTCTTCATGTAATTGTAGGTTAATGATACCAAATAATAATAATAATAATAATAATAATAATAATAATAATAAAGAAAAAAGAGTTCCTAAAGTATTTATTCTGTTCTTTTATGGCACACCTCACTTTCTGTTTCCTATATGTATCTTATCTCTCTCTTTGAGGTCACAGTAGGTTGGTGGTTCCCAAACTTTGCTGCTCAGTGGAATCACCTGGGAATCTTTAAAAACAAAACAACTGATATTTGTTTCTCATCAACTGCCCCAGACATTCTGATTAAACTGGTATGGATATTTACAATAGCCAAGAAATGGAAGCAACCTAAGTGTCCATCAGTAGATGAATGGATAAAGAAGATGTGGTAAATATACATAATGGAATATTATTCAGCCATAAGAAGAAAACAAATCCTACCATTTGCAACAACATGGATGGAGCTAGAGGGTATTATGCTCAGTGATATAAGCCAGATGGAAAAAGACAAGTATCAAATGATATCACTCATCTGTGGAGAATAAGAACAAAGAAAAAACTGAAGGAACAAAACAGCAGCAGAATCACAGAACCCAAGAATGGACTAACAGTTACCAAAGGGAAAGGGACTGGGGAGGATGGGTGGGAAGGGAGGGATAAGGGGGAAAAGGGGCATTACGATGAGCAGACATAATGCAGTAGGGGGCACAGGGCTGTACAACACAGAGAAGACAAGTAGTGATTTTATAGCATCTTACTACGCTGATGGACAGTGACTGTGATGGGGTATGTGGTGGGGACTTGATGATGGGGGGAGTCTAGTAACCATAATGTTGTTCATGTAATTGTAGATTAATGATACCAAAAAAAAAAAACTGGTTTGGATGTGACCTGGAGAGTTTAAAAGCTGCCTAGATGATTCTGAAGTATGGCAAAGTTTAGGACCTGCTACAGTAGATGCTAAGTCAATGCTGTTGGGTAAAGCAGTGGTTCTCAAACACTAGTGAGCGTCAGAAGCCCTCAGTGGACTTATTAAAACACCTTCAGTTTAGGAAGTGGCAGAACTGGTGGCACCCTAGAATTTGTATTTCTAACAAGTTCCCAAATGATGCTGGTCCAGTGGCCACACTTAAGGGAGTGCTAGAGAGATTACAAAATCTCTGCTTCCTCCCTTCAGAATACGAAGATACACTGGGCTCTCTGTAAATACTCAGTTCCCTTTTGGGAAAAAATTTCATGACAGTTTCTAGAATGGAATGAAAATAATCTCAGATTAGAGCTTTCATGGGATCTTGACTCTTTGGTCTAAACACCTATATGAACCCCTTTACCTTGGTCACACCCACCACTATCCTCTATGTCTTTAACTCAGTTCACAGTCTTAAATCTAGAACTCTCAGAGGAGTGGACCTGGTTCACACACAGTGAGTCTCATTTCCACTTTCTGAAAGAAATGAAGATGGTGAGGAGTCCAGGTAACAGGTGAGATTTTTTTTCTCTCAAAAAATTATCCTAGAAAAGAGAGGGCTGGTTTATGTTCAAGTCCTTGCAAGGTCTCTTCTATTATGAGATCCTTTCTCAAGCATGTGGAACCAAGGACTTTTGACAAAAAGACAAATTTCCTCAGCATAAGTTCTGCTTACCTTTAGAGGTCACCTGATCGAATCAGTAAAAGGAGGTGAACACATTTACTAGTATGACATGACTGTTAATGGTGGCTATTACTGTAAACAACACTTTTAAAGGTCAGCTTATAAGCAATATCAGCTAAAATAATAAGGCTGTGTTGGTGGTAGTGATGACGCAGATGTCAGAGGCATGCCAAAATGGGGATACATGGTGTTATGAAAGATAAGGGCAAATACCACACTATTTCTAAATTAACAAACTACTTTATCTAGTATGTGAACCTAAATATATATATGAGTCACTATATTAGTAAACGGCATAAGTGGATATTTGACAATTTCATTTACATTGCTAAAAATACATGAAAGTTTATTAAGTGATCAAAAAAACTTAAAAATATGTTTTAATTGGAAAAATAGAGGACTCTATTTAGGATAAGAAATTGGGCATAATGAGTAGTGCCTTGCAGTGACTGGCAGAAGCCCAAGGCCCCCAGGCCCCAGCCTATGAGGCTCATGGCCTCTGCCCACCCTGCGCACAGATCCTGGCGCGACCCACAGTTTTCCGGCCACAAGACCTTGCCTCGTTCCTTGCCTCCTGGTTTTCTTCCTCTTCCTCTGCACTGGTCAAAAGGGCCTGGGTGTCGGGGCTCTCTCCGGCTTCGGAGGCAAACCCCAAGGCCCGCCGCATCTTGCTTCTCATTGCCCAGGAAAGGAGAATGATCTGAAGAGTGGAGTTAAGGTGCAAGGATGCACAGAGCTTCAGCTGCCCGGCGCTGCGCTCACCTCTGCACCCTGACACCCCTGCCCCCGGGCTCTCTCCACCCCGGTATTATATTTTGCCCAGATCGGCCCCAGAACAGACATGAGGTCGTCTGAGGACAGGGCCAGGTCTCTCTCCACATTCCCCCGCTGAGGGCCCAGCACCCAGCAAGACCCTACCTCTAAGAAGCACTTAGTAAATACTTGCTAAACAAAAGCATTTTGAAAAACATCTTCCTCAAAGGGCTTGGCTTACAGAGTACAGGTAGTGGGTTCAGCAGTGTCCCCCCAAAGTTTGTATTTACCTGTAACTTCAGAATGTGACCGACCTTATGTGGAAATAGGGTCTTTGCTGATATAATTAAATAGGGTCTTAGTAGATTAGGCAGACCCTAAGCTGGTGACTGGAGCCCTTGTAAGGAAAGGAGAGGATGCAGAGATGCACAAAGGGAAGAAGGCCATGTGAAGACAGAGGTGGAAATTAAAAGGATGTGGCCACAAGCCAAGGAATCCCGGAGCCACCAGAAGCTGGCAAGGGCAAGGAAAGAACCTCCTTGGAGTCTCTGGAGGTAGTGAGGCCTTGCCAGGATTTTGGACATCTGGTCTCCAGAACATGAGAGAATACATTTCTGTTGTTTTAAGCTGCCACAAATTGTGGTAATTTGTTATGGCAGCCCTAGGAAAGCAATACAGTCCATGAGAATATCAGTTTCTGAACTATTTATGCTAAATCCATGTGTCTTTCATACCCACACACCACCAGACCACCACCACCACACAGCCGTTCCTGCCATCTGAGCTCAGGCTGACCCTGAGGCTCTCACGTCAGGTCACTGGCTGACAGCTCATTAGACAACACTGGGGAAGAGGAAGGTGCCCGGCAGTCACCGAGGAGGGCAGCCCTTGTCAGCCTTTATCTCTGCTTCCCCAACCCAGGCCCCAGTACCGAGGAGAACAGAAGGGAGATGACTGCCCCTGTGCGGCAGGTCAGCTTGCAAAGGCCCCTCCCAGCCTCCCAAGTAGACAAGGTGAAGGTGAGGAAAAGAGGTTCCAGGACGGCGGAGACCTGGCCAGGTGGGAGCAAAAGCGAGAGTGGAACCTGGGCCTCCCCGTCCCAGGGCCTGGGCCTTCACAACCCCCACCGCTGTTTCAGAGCTCCTGCCAAGAGATCACTTTTATTTTGAAAAGAAAAAGACACAAAACACAAAATTGCAAATAGTTGCAATTGTGTCTGCCTGCCCCAAGCTTCAAACCACTTCCCTGGCTGCTGGGAGAGAATTCCATTTAGTTAAGGGGGAAGGAGCGCATGGCAGGGGCTGGAGATGAGACACAGGCAGTCTACTGCTGGGCCTGGAGTGGATACAGAGAGGTCCAGAGTGGCACGGCCGAGGGAGGTCAGTAGCCAGGGTGTAGCCCGAAGTAGGTACTCAGGCCGCTGGTCATGGGCCACAATGGCCGAGGCATAAAGGAAGCCAGCCAGGGCCGACAGGAGGCGGGTCCACAGGTGGATGGAGGGAAAAGTCTTACCCCGGCACTGGAGAGAGATGGGAGGGGCTGGGCAGGGACAACACTGCTGCCCAGCCCTCCAGCCCTTCAGGGCTGGATTCCAAGACCCAGGCTCTGGCAGCACAGCAGGGGGAGGAGGGCGAGCCCTGTGCCCATGGCTGTCCCCAAAGGGGCTGCTTTTGTTAGGCTTCCAGCTCTTGCTCACACACTTCCTTTGCCTCCTGAACTCTTATTTATCCCCCAGAACCTGTTTTAAACTCAACTCTGGGAAACCTCTCCTTACCACCTCCACCTTAAGGGGAATGAGTACCCCCCTTTTTGGACCCCATCACACATGGCATATCCCTGTAGCTGAGTGCCTTTTCCCCGGATCCTGACTTAGCTCCTTGCACTTCTATCTGCCCCACAGACAGGGCTTCTGAGGGTGGGCTGGGGTCCTCACCATCTCAATACCCCTGGCACTTGGCACTGGGCAGGGGCTCATGAATGTCAGCTGGAAGAACATGAAGGAATTATGAAGAATTATGACTGAATTATGACGGCCAACGCCTGACTTTTCTCTGCCTGGGACCTCCGATTCTGAACCAGCTCAGACAGGAAAGGTCAGGGAACTTAGATGGAACATTCTGGAAAATTTGAAACCAAGGGTGTTGTTTTGGGAGAATGAGTAATGGAAATAATTGGTTTCAAATGAGGAAAGAGATTCAATATGTAAGTACTCTCTACAGGTATTAAGTCACTTTATATGTATATACACAAATACTATATATTTTCAATTATATATAATCACATGGTATATCTTAATTAACATATATACTTATAAATTATACTATATGAAATTTAGTTTGCCGATTAGATGACCATCTTTAGAGATATACAGGTCTTGGCCAGGGAATGGAAAAAATTCAGAGGGAAAACCAGGCTTTGTCTCATTTTGCCCATTTTTATTTTAATTCTCAAAAAGATTCCCCAGGAGTGTCCCGTTCCTCCCTGCATTTCTGCAAGTCTGGCTCCAGGCCTCCCTGTTTCTGGTCTGCCATGCCCTGAAGCTGGGCAGAGGCAGCACAGGGCTCAGAGGGCAGCTGCTGGCCCCCGAGGCCCCTCCCACCTCACACAACCCCTGCGGGCTTGGCGGAGCAGGGACGTCCAGCCTGGCGGCTGCTGGGCATACCCATGGGACCAGAAGCAGGCCAAGCCCCGGGCAGCCCCCACAGCAGCAGTGCTCACCATCAGGGGGTGTTTCCCACCCCTGGTCCTGTTCGAGGACTCACTCCCGGAACCACAGGAACTTCTCCCTCCACAGCCACCCAGCCATTCTGCTTCTTAGCGCCCTCACCAGGGGTAAATTAGAAGCAGCGTCAGGGGAACCAGGGTCTGAGGCCATGCTGGCTAGGCTTCTCAGAACACCTCAAACCCCGCTGGGTTTCTCCCTAATAAGGAGGCCTTCGCTCTGGGCTCTTCTTCATGGGACCAGAGACAGGCCCGGCTGCCCCTCTGAGCTGCCCAGCCCTATCCCCAGGGCAGTCTCACTCTGTCTTCCTGCAACGGGCCACCAGGCTTGAATGCCCTTCCTAATGGGCAACCCACCACCTCCTAAGGCGTGAGTAGCAATGCTGAACACTCTCAGCTTGCCAGGCACTTTGCAAAGTGTCTAGCCCATGAGTGGGAAGTAGGGCCCATCCACAACCTCTTCTCAGTCTTGATTTTCATTCTGTTCCCTGAGACTACTGAGAGCAAGGATGCTCCATCTACCCCAAGACAGCCCTACTGATTCCTACATCCACGGGCTTCCTTTTTTCTAGGCCTCATTAAGTCACTCATTCAGTAACTCATCAGTTTGCTGACACCTACCACGGGCAGGCCCCAAGCCCCTGGAATGCAGTGGGAACAAAACAGACAAGGTCACAGCTCTCACAGCAGACATGCTGCTGGGGACCAACAACTTGGTAAATGGGCAAAGGAGCTAATTCTAGGTTGTGACAAATGCTATGGAGAAAATGATGCAGAGTGAAGGACACAGTTGGGGGGCTATGGGCTGTTCTAAGTCGGGTGGTGTTATAAGTTGAATTGTGAGCCTCTAAAAGATGTCAAAGTCCCAACCTCCAGAACCTGTGAATGTGCCCTTATTTAGAAATGGGGTCTCTGCAGATGTTCAAGTTAAGATGAGGTCATCAGGGTGAGCACTAATCCAATGTGACTGTGTCCAATTAAACGGGGAAAGTTGGACACAGATTTGTACAGAGGGAAGGCCATGTGAAACACGTACACAGGGAGAATGCCATGTGAACACGACAGCTATGCAGCCACCAGCTAAGGAACTACCTGAAGCTTGGAAAGACGCCTGGAACAGGTCCTTCCCAGTGTCTTCAGAGGGAGCAGGGCCCTGCTGACACCTTGAAATTGGACTTCGGGCATCCAGAACTTTGAGACAAGGCATTTCTGATATTCAAAGCTTGAGATGCTTTGTTACAGTGGCCCTAGGACACTAATAGAGGTGGTCAAGGCCCTGTGCCAGTTCCTTCAAAGGTTTTCACATGATGCAGCTTCCCAGCCCCCAGGTCATCCTGGATGCCACTCCCAGGGTCACTGAACTGAGCACACTGCCCCCCACTCTCCCCTCCCTTTTAGCTGCAGGTAGCTCCTTTGCTGATGAGGCCCCACGTCCCAGGACAGCTCAGGCTTCAGTTTCCCACAAATTATTAACTAAGCACCTGTCATCCCCAAATCCTATTCTTCTGGAGGCAATACTAACCGATGCTCTTTGACAAGTGATTTTTCTTTTTAGACCTGATGACAGGCCTTTTATGTTTCTGGTGTTAGGCCTGGCCATTGTTCCTGTCAGGGCCCTCCTGGAAGGGCCGTTTTCCACATCCACAGTATTTTGCTTTTCTGCAGGCACTTTCCTGACAGGGGACTCTTCCCATGCACTCTCCTCAAATCCCATCTTCCCTTCAGGGCCACCCTAAGGCTTCCCTGGCACCAGCTGGCCTGGAAGCATAAGTGGTTTCCACCCTTGCTCGTTTGAGTAGCATAGGAGCCTCTCTCCCTCTTCCAAAATCCCAAACATTGCACTCTATCTTCCTTAGGGTATTAAAAATATCCTGCTTTACAGTTCTGTTGTCCTTCTGTGAGACTGAGAGCCCGCCAAGGGCAAGCCTGATGTCTCCAGTCTCGTGTGCAGCCCTCACGGAGCTGGCCGCCGGGGCTTCCCTCCTTGCTGATGCCTGAAAAATACCTGCCATGAGATGGTCTCAGATACACAGAAATCTGGTAGCTGCATGATTCTCTCTCTAAAACCTTCTCATTCCCTACAGGAATATTTGTTCATCCAACCCATGGGTTTTTCATTCACTACCAGAAATGGAGAGAATGTGGTGGGCTCTCATGTGAGAGGCTCTGGCAGGCCTCAGAACCCCTACCTGGGCGGCCACCCACTCCCTGCGTGCACGTGCATCGTGCACACACACACACAGTGACACCAGCCCTCTGACCTGTGTCCTGGAGCTTGGAGGCTGCTCCCAGATGCCCTAAAACCTGCCATGGTGGTCCACAGTCCCAGCCCCAACCCCAGCCTCACAATTCTGGAGAGTGGATGGATCCGGGAAGTCCAGGATCCAAAGGTGGCAATGCCACCCAGCAGGTAGCCGAGGATTTCAGTGTTGTCCTGTGGGAACAAGTGATACACTCAAGACCCTGAGGGGCCACCCTGCATCCCAGCCCTGCCTTTTTCTGCTTTTAGCAGTTTCCTCCCAACAATGGCAAGGACTAACCCTGCCCCCTGCCCTTGGGCATTTGTGGGGACTTTGAGGAGAGAAGGGACCCTCAATCCCCTCCTGGGCAGGCTCAGCCTCACCTGCAGCAGGCTTCCCAGCAACCTTCGTTGTGGCCCTCGAATGGGGCCTGAAGCTTTTGGGACAGCGGCCCAGAGGGCCCAGCCTGGGCCCAGGCTCAGTGGCAGGGCCAGGGCAAATACGCTGGCTCTCAGCTGCCGCCTCCTCTTCCTCTCCCGGGAGCTCCGACCTGCAATAGACACCAGACTCCTACAGGGCTCCTGGAATCTAGAGCTCAACAGACAGCTGCCTGGGGAGAACCGTGTCGGCCAGATGCCAGAATGGGTTCCAACACTGTTCTACAGGCCAGATCCTCCCCACCCTTGAAGGGCTTCTGGTGCCACCTCTGTGGAGGGTCTTTCCTCCCCACCACTCTGTCCTACCCATGGCTGGAGCTCTTCTTCCTCAGCACTCTCAGAGCGTTTTATGTTTCAAGGCAGGGGTGATGTTATCCTTTATCGCATGTATCTGTGCATGCACACGCCTCTCCTAGACTGGAACCCCCTGAGAGCAGGCACTGTACCCTGGCAGTTTCTATAATCTTCACAGAGCCTGCACAGAGAAGAGCCAGCACAAACTTGGTGAATGCCTTGCTGGGTGAACATGTTTGTGCTGGGGCACTGAAACTGTGCAGGATGAGGAGCACTATCTTTGAAAGGTTCCTTGAATATGACAGATAATCCTCTGAATGACTGTAATAAAAACATTTCTCCTCTGTACAGCATCAAGCAGCTGAGGTAATCTATGTGACCTCACTGATGTAAGCATTCCCTTTTGGACAAGGGTCCAAACACACAGCTGCCCCTTCTGGCAACCCCAGTCTCCCATGCTCAGTCCTGGCATCCATTTCCAGAAGTTGTGGGAGTATTTTTTGGCTGCTGTGGATTTGCACACTGATGTCACTGTTCACCCCTAACAGCCATGACCACCCTCCTCTGGCCTTCGCCATGCTGTTCTTTGTACCTGGAATACCCCTTGCTGTACTCACAGTTCCAGCGTCACATCCTTCCCTGACACCTGCAGCCCCTTCCTTCCCTCTGGCTGCCCACAGTGGGCATGCACCTCCTCACTAGCAGCTCTAATGAGTGTTTATAGGGCCCTGTTTTCGTCTCTGTCTGAGGTCAGGGAGCTCGTTCATTCATCTGTGCCTGGCAGCGGCCCAGCCAGGAGTTAGACCATGGTGTAGGTATGCAGGGTGCTGAGGCATGAGTTGATTCATGAAGACAGGAACATATGGCCACACACTCACACGAATTAGACTTGAATTTGGAGCCGCAGAGTGGGAAGAGAATGAACACAAAGTTCGCCAAGTCAACAGCTGCTAGGTAGGCACCAGTGAAAACCTGGGGGCAAACAGAAATAGAATCTTGGTATTCAGACATTTCTCAGCAACTACAGAACTTCTTACCCTGGATTTCCTCTACTACATGTATTCCACTGAGGTAGTAACTCCAGGGAAGCCTTCTACCAACCCCATTTGACTGATGGGGAGGTGAGGTGCTTAAATGACCCATCCCAGGATGCAGAGGACCCTCAGCAGAGATGGGACAAAAACTCAGCCCTCCACTTCCTACTCCATACTCTTTCCACTGCAGTTAGTCTCTGCTGTGTAACTTTAGCCCAGGCACTGAACACCTCTGGGCCTCAGTTTCCTCATCTGTAAAACAGGGATAATTAACACTTAAGCAGATTACATGAGCCAATACACATTAAGTGCTCAGACCAGAGCCTAGAGGAAAGGAAAACGTGCGTCCCTATAAATGTACCAGCCGCTGCGATGATACACTGAGTCATTAAGAGCACGCAGTTTGAATCCCAGCACTGCTCCTTACTTGAGGGTGACCTGAGAGTTGTTTAACGTCTTTAAGCCTCAGTTTTCACATGTGTAAAATAGATAAAATGAGCGCACGCATGTCAAAGGATGATTTGAGGACTAAGTGAAATAATACATGTCCCCCAGTGCCAGGAAGCATATACAGATATCAGCTATTATTATACTGGACTTGAGCTGGGCCTCATATTCCATCAGCTAATGAGAATGGGCACCCAAAATGAAAGAGAAATTGTTTCTGAGAGAACACTGCTCAAAGCAGCGTCAAGAACTCTCCTAGTCTGAGCGCTAACCATTCGGCAGTCCTTCTTCCCATCGCAAGGCCAGGACCCACCCCATGAGATGGCCCTGCAACGGTGCCCAGAGGCTTTCCTTAGGATATGTGTTCTGGGGTAGGTCTTGTCTGACAGGCTTGTTGGAGGGCCTAGACTTCAGGAAAACGTGAGACTGTTTTTCACTCTCTCTAAAACCCCCATCACCACTTGGGAAAGGATTCAGTCACCCATGCGTGAGCTGGGGCTGAGCCATGGGCTCTAAAAACAGTAACAGAGAAATCACTATTTATTGAGCGCCTACTCTGTGCCAGCTGCTGTTTATGTGATGGGGACATGGTAGTGAATATAAATCTTGCCCCTGTGGAGCTGACCTGCTAGTAGGGCTAAGCAATAAACATAATAAGTAACTAAGGTAGATGGTGTATTAGGGAGTAAGCTATGGGGAAAGATAGAGCAGGATCAGTGGGTCCGGAGCACCTGGAATAGAGGTAGGGCACGACTTTAAACAGGAGGTCAGGGCTGGCCTTATTGAGAAGGTGACTTTTGAGCAAAGGTTTGAAGCAATGGGCCATGTGGCTATCAGAGTAAGAGCACTGGTGGGCAAGGGGTGAGGGCAGAGAGACCAGCAAGGGTACAGGCTGGGAGGTGAAACTGTGCCTCACACATGATGAAGGAACAAGACAGAAGCCACTGGCATCTGCAGGAACCACGCACCTGGATAGTAAGCTGTCTGGCCAGAATGGCCCCGATGGTGTCACACAGGCTGGTCAGGAGACCGCATGCAGCACACAGCACTGACGGGTCCTGTCCAGATCTCTTTGCACATCTCAGGTAGAGAAGCCTGCGGCGACAGACCAAGCACGGGAGCCCTGAGTTTGGACTTCCAGAGCAGATGACTGGAAAGGGCAACTGTGACTGTGTTCTATGAAGCACTTTCTCCCCCAGTTACTCAGCAGGTACTTCTGAGCTTAGTTTACAGATGGGACAAGAAAGGGAGCAAAAGGTTTAAGTCAACCAGCCTGTGGCAAGAGCCAGACCTGCTTCTCTAATGAAGAGCAGTTTCTTTCCTCCGACAAATCTGGCAGACTCAAGTTCATGACCCACGGCTTACTGCTGACAAACTAGCTGTCAGGTTTTATTTTTTGAAAGGAAACAGGAGGCTTATAAAAGTAACCCAATCACTGCAGTTAACTGCAGAGCAGAGTTGATTGTCTAAATTAAAAAGGCAACTTGTTCCTTTGAAATTAAAGTGGACTCCTTCTCATCCATCCATGAAGTGGGGTGGCCTGGCTTCTGCCAGCCTGCATCTAAGTTGAGCTGTTCTTTACACACAAGGAGAGCAAAACTCTCCAAATATGCCATGGCATGTCCACCTCTGCTGGCTTCTCTCCTTTATTTCCCACGTCTTGTCCTCCAACTCCTGAACAAATGCAGAAAGGCAGGACAGGTGCTCTACCAGCATCATTGATCAGATGAGGTAGCAGATGGTTTCCTGCTACCTTACTATGGAGAAGCTGAGGCACGAATGCAGCTCTGGTTTCATTTCATTTACTCAGAGGATGGTCCTCACTCCGCAACGCTTAGGGCTGTCTGGCTGCTTTGGAGCGTCAGCCCTGGGAAATAGTGCGTGAGGATGGAAGGCTATTGGGTTCCCCAATACTTCCTGACCTGTCAGGAGAAGCCCAAAGCTCACAGAGAAGATCAACCTTTAATTTGGGCCCTGGGATCCTGAAACTGATTCAAAGCCTAGGAGTGAAGACTCTGAATTAGAGAGACTTTCTGAGTTGGACTTAGATTAGAAATAATTTATTTCAATAATCCCAATTGAGATCAGAGAAAATTAAGCCCTGTGGTGATATGGTGAGTTCATGGTGGGCCCCTGGCTTCACAGGTAGAGGCCCTGCTCCATACACTGTTGCTCTTCAGCCACTTTCCCAGCTCTCAGGAGTCAGGCACTCCTGGCTGACCCTAACTCAGGCCACACTCAGCTTGGAGGAGATACATTCTCCAAAGTCACCTGCAGATCAGGAAGCCCCGAGAACACATGGTGTCCGCAGACCTAAGGCAGGGTGAAGAGTAGAGGCTCTGCTCTCAGCCCGGCCAGCTAGGAGTTCTCCTAACCTCCCCAGACCTTAGACATTATTATGTGTAATAATGCTGATCGCAGAGGGTGGTTGTGAGGAGCAAACAAGATGCTGCCACAGAGTGCCTCATCCGTTCCCATCCTCTGATCTGGGTGGTCTGATCCTCACAAACCTGTACCTTGCTGATAAGATTTGGGGTTTTGGTTCTTTCCATCAATTCAGGAAAGTCAGTTAACCTCTCAGAACCTAGGGTTTCCTCAACTGTAAATGAGAGTAACAGTCCCTATGTAATGGGCAGGTGGCGGAGATGAAATGAGTTAATAAATTCAACACTAGGCCCACAGCAAACGTTCTAAGTGTCTTTTTATTCATATTCCAGTGGGATATTTTATTCATATTCCACTGGTGGGCAGTGTGGCTGCAGAGCTTCTGTAATGATATCAAAGCCTGAGGGGACTGCCTACCAGTGCCTGAGGTGGGCTGGTGCCATCTCTCCCACCCCAGTGTGGGCCTTTCTCCTCTGCCAGGGAACATGGGACTTGCACCAGCCTTCCGAGCTTGGGACAAGGTGGCTGAGGACCCGGGGGCCACCTTTAGCCAGTCTTCACTTAGAACCCACAGTAAGTGACCAACTGTCTAAACCACTCCAGGTGGGGGTCAGAACAGGGAAAAGGCTGTGGCCAGAGTCAGAGGATTGCCAGTCCCCCCTCGCAGCTAACAGGGTCTAGGATAAATTGTTGAAATATGGAGACACTTGTCCAAGATCCTTGCCCTCTGCCAAAGGTTGGTGGGGGAGCTGGAGCAATAATAATGATTTTTTAATGAGCACTTACTAACAGCTTTACCCTACTAACTTATTTAATCCTCCCATCCGTTCTTTGAATTATCAATAATCCCCATTGACGTGAGGAAAATGAGGCTCAGAGGTTTTATAGTTGCCCAGCCCACAAGGCAATTCAATGGGAAAAGGCTGACATAGAATCCAGAACTCCCAGCTTCCTGTCCAGGGCCCCATAAACTGCACTGCCCGGCCTCCGCCTGCTGGCTCACAGCCCAGCCTCCCTGTGCAGGGAATCCAGAAAGAAGTGTCCGACTTCAGTCGGCCACAAAATGTTCGTTTCGATCCTGGAACTATGTTGCCTCCTGCTTCGTTCCTTTCTGCCCCCTTCCCTCTAGGTTTCCGTGACTGAGTTAGCGGCAGGGTAGCGCCCCATTCCCTCCGCAGCAGACCCGGCCCCCACCCTGGCGCCGCCCGGTCCCGGTCCCCATTACAGCGCGTGGGCGGCGATCCAGCAGGAGGAGGCGCAGATCCACAGGCCGAAGGAGATGCAGACGCGGTGTCGGGCGAAGCAGCGGTCCAGGTAGTCCCAGTCCCAGAGCGCGGGCGCCGGCGCGGGGCTGGGCGCCTCCCCCATGGCACGGCTCGGCTCCGCCCGCCCAGTGCCCGAACCTCCGCGTGGCCGGGAGTCGGGCGCAGTAACCCCTGCTGCGGGCAGCCCCGGGCGCTGCCGCTCGCGCCCCCTTCGCTGGGGTCGGCTCCGCCGCTCGGCCCAGGTCGCGCGCACAACCGCGGCCGCCCAGCTCTGCGCTCCCGGGCGCAGACGGCGGCGGCGAAGGCACCCGGGAAAGTTTCCGGGACCGCGCAGCTCCCCACCCCTTGTGCTATTGTCGGGGGTCGGCGGGCGGGAGGCCGCCCCCTAGCGGCGGGAGCCGGGAGCGGCCTCGGCACAAAGGCTGCGCCCTGGCCCCAAAGACAGAGGCGGCGCGGTTTCCGCTGACCCCTTCGCCAGCACCCGCAAACCCGGAGGCAGAGCGGAATACAGACCTGGTGCCTGCCAGGTCAGCGTGAGGCAGCCTTTGTGCGTTCCAAATCCGCCACATTTTATGAGCCAGACAATACACATACTTCGCGCATGGCGAAGCGCCGGGGCGGTGGGCAACCCGAGGCGAGTGGAGCCTGGTCCTGATGATCATTGTTGGAAGCCGACTACAAAGGGAGTGGGGAGGAGACAGACATGCTAGTGAGTAAATCCCCCTACATCTCCTCTTATTTTCTTTTCTGCATCTGTCGACGTCACCCTCCACCCCTACTCAGTCGCCCAAGCCAGACTTCTGGAAGTCACACTAGAAGGTGACCCCAGCAGCCAAGGAGGCCGGTGATCTGTGCATCTGTCCCCTCCCATCCAGCCACTCTGCCACATGACTCTGGCAAGCAGAGCTGTTTTCCTTGGAAACAAACTACTATTATAATTTTTTAAATCCTTGTTAATTTTAGTAAGTTTGCTTAAAGAAGGACATGACAATCACTTTTTTCATTTTTAATCATAGCAGCTTTATTGAGATCTCATTCATATACCATAAAATTTGTCCTTCTAAAGTGTACAGTACAGTGGTTTTTAGTATATCCAGAGTTGTGCAACCACCACCATTATCCAACTTTAGAACATTTTCATCATTCACCAAAAAAAGCCAGCACCCATTAGCAGTCACTCTCCATTCCCGCTCAACATTCCTCGCCCCTGGCAAACACAAATCTACCTTCTGTCCTCTATGGTCTTGCCTCATCCAATAGATGACCTTTTTGTGACTGGCTTCTTTCACTTAGCATGTTTTTAAGGTTCATCCATTTTGTAGCATGTGTTAGTATATCATCATTTTCATGGGTGAATAATATTCCACGGTATGGCTAGAACACATTTTGCTTATCCATTCATCAGTTGATGGACATTTGGTTTATTTTTACATTTTGGCTAATATGAATAATGCTGCTATGAACGTTTATGTACAATTTTTTGTGTGGATGTGGACATAGGTTTTCAGTTCTTGTGGGCATATAGCTAGAGGTGGAATTGCTGGGCCCCATGGTAACTCTATGTTTAAAGTTTGGGGGGTCAGACTATTTTCCAAAGTGGATACACTATTTTATTGGTTCACTCTTTTTTAAAAGTTATGGCCACTCACAGGACAAATGAAATACTGTATGTCAGGCATTGTGCAATGAGCCAGGGACACATGCTTGAGAAAAACAGGCAAGGTCCCCACCTTTGTGGAGCTTACACTACAGTAGGAGAGACATTAAACAAGCAGTTGAACAAATAAAGGCAAAATTAACATGTTATTAAACAAGTGGCCAAAATTAAAATAATAAAAGGATTAAGATGAAGTGATACAGAATGAATACCAGCTAAGACAAGATTAAGCAGTTAACTCCAGTTTCTCATAGCCTATAAACAATTCCCACAGTCTGAAATCCCTGACTTCTGGTTCTCTCAGGGCTCTTCTGGTGTGTATTCTGTGTGTTTATAAATGGTCTTCTCTCCCTTGACCTCCCAGGGATGCTGACCTGTGTTCGCCTGCATCTGGAGTTTCCCAGGTGACGTTGCCTACCGACTTTTCCAAAAGATCACCTATTACACTATCTCACCAAAGTAAAGACACACCCTGCACAGTCTTTTATCACCTTCTCACCTACCCCAAGGCCAGGCTACCTTGTCCCCTGTTTTGCTGAGACTTGCAGACACTACTGTTTAATTTGGTTCACTCTTTATTAAGCCTCCCCTTTCTTTTCAGGCTCAGTATAAGCCCTCGGATGTTGGCCCTAATTTAAAAATTGCTTTATTCCTCCCCACCCACCCTGGACCAGGTTTATACACCTCTACAGTTTTTTCTTAGAATGGTTAGTTCTCAGCCTTTTTGAGAATTTGAAGAAAACCTCCCTGAAAAATACTAGTATGTGCACACATCCACACAATTTTTAATATAATCTTAAGGAATTTATGGATTCCCTGAAATTCAACTAGAGATTTCACAGAGGAATTCACACTGGAACAGAAATCCCTGGTTTAAGAGTTTGTCCTTTGGGTCCCTGCCTGAGCAGCTGGGGCCATGTGCTCCCTAGAAGACAGATGGCAGAGTCACTCTGGCTGCCTGTCAAAAAACAGACCTGCTGAATCCAGCTTTCTGGGCATGTGTCCTTGGAACCTGCTTGGATTTATTTCCTGTGGCTGCTGTAACAATTACCACAAATTTAGTGACTTAAAGAAGTAGGAATTATTCCCAGAGTTCTGTAGGCCAGGAGCCTGAGATCAGTTTCACTGGACCAAAATCTTGTCAGCAGGGCTGCCTCCCTCTGGGGGATGGGGGAGGGGGTTCCTATCTGTTGTCTGGCTTCCTTCAGCTTCTGTGGCTGCTGGAGTTTCTTGCCATGTGGCCTCATAATTTGAATCAATCTCTGCCTCGTGGCACATTGCCTTGTTCTGTGTGAGTTAAATCTCCCTCTGCCTCCTATAGAATGCATTTGTGACCTACTCAAATAATCCTTGTTAATCTCCCCATCTCAGGATCCTTAATTTAATCCCATCTGTCAAGACTCTTTCCACATAAGGTAATGTGTACAGGTTCCTGGGGTTAGGACCTGATATGTTTGGGGGGTCATTATTCAACCTACTACACAGTATTTTCATAGCTTCCTGTGAGATTCTTAGGTAAGACTGGGTTATGGACATGGCCCTCTTAGGATGGACAGTTTTGGGGGAGCTCATCAGTCGCTGGATATTTTGGCTCATAAAAAGATGCACTGGGAAGAATGTGGGCTTTGAAGCCTGCAAATCTGGGACTGGAGCTCTCACTCTGCCCCCTTGCAGCGGTGGCTGGGGACAAGCCCTGACCCTCTCTGCACTGTGCATTCTTACCTGTCAAATAAAGGTCATTCTGTGATTATCAGAAACCCTGAGATAAAGTGTCCTGCACATATTTCAACAGAGGAAATTATTGTTGTTACTGTCTTTCCTACGAAGAACCTCCGATCCACTAAAAAAGAAAATGTGAAGGGGAAGGTCAACCAATGGTGGGGAGACACAGAGCTCAGTTCTTGGTTCTCTTCTGTTCTCTACCAGGTGCCAGAAGCATCTGATCTTCTAGCTTTCAGTACTGTCCCTGTACCTATGCCTCCTGAATGAGAGTCTCCAGGTCATATCACTTTCCCAAACTTTAGACTCACATATGCAACTGCCCATTTGACATCTTCACTTGCACATCTCACTGAACATGTCAACACCTAATTCGTGATTGTCCCTCCCAAATGGTCTTCCCTGCACAGACTAATTCTGGGTTCTGGTCCTGTAGGGGCATATAAACCTGTGGCCTATCTGCTCTTGGAGGATGCCTCTCCAAGTGAGATGAGTGTTGTCTGTCTACCAGGCTGTGAGTGTCTGGCAACCAGGGTTGTTTAGTTCAGATCTGGATCCTCAGCTCCTACCTGAATGCCAGGCACATAATAAGGAAGAGGAAGAATGAACTGATTCTTCAACAAGCCATGGAAATGTGATACGCACTATAGTAAGAGCTTGTTTATTGTGCTTTGCTGACACTAACATTGTGTGCGGGTGTGATGGGGAAATGCATCACAGAAATGCATGAGCTGGGCTTTGGAGAATACGTCTGCTTTTGGCAATGAGGCCATGGTACCACTCCTGTGAAGGCCCTCCAGGAGTGGGGAGAGCAGATCCTGTGGACACAGGCAAGGAAGCGGAGGTACTGCCGCGAGGGTAGATGAGGCTGGAGAGGCAGCACATAGCCAGTCAGGCAGGAATCAGGACTTGAGCCTGCAGCGATCATTTAGGGTTGTATATTCTAACTCCTTCCTTGTCATTAGAGTGCCTCCCAAATTTTCCCAGCACCTTATATAGGGCTGTTGACACGTTCAACCCCCAGGAAGTGAATCAGTTCCCTTACCAGCCTCCTCTGAGGCCCCGCAGCTGCCCTGCCCAGAAGCTAATGGTTTGGGCCAAGGGGTAGAGTTTGTCAAAAAGAAAAGCTAACAAGGCCATAACACACACGTCCTTGCCCCATGGCTCTCAGGCAGATCCTGTTGGCAGAGGCACACAGCTGTGGGCACTGTCCTGATGAAGGGAAGGCCGCAGGAACCTGGGCGGGCTTTCAGTCCTGCCCACAAACCCCAGCCACCCACCCTGCAGGCCGGCAGCTCCACAGCTTTCTCTTCAGAGGACACGATGCCTCCTGTCAACATTCTTGTAAAGTGAATTATTTAAAGGGCTTGTGGCTACTGCTCAAACAGTAACTTAAAAAAAGCCCTACATCTGTACAACACAGAGAAGACAGGGATTCTGCAGCATCTTACTATGCTGATGGACAGTGACTGTAATGGGGTTTGTGGGGGGTACTTGGTGAAGGGGGGAGCCTAGTAAACATAATGTTCTTCATGTAATTGTAGATTAATGATACCCCCCCAAAAAAATACGGAAAAAAAAAGCCCTATGTAAGTTTGATTTACCTGCTATAGAAAGAACAATTCTAAAAGGATGCATTTTGAAATAATGGCATTTCCAAATCTTAATCAGTCCTTTTGTGGACATGTTGGAGTGTTGCTATTGAAGCAGGCGGTCAGACTGTTGGGATCACGGGTTCTATCTAAAACTCTCATAAACTCACTGTTTGATCTTGTGACAGATTCTCTACTTTTTTCCCCCACAAGTTTCTCATTAATAACATGTGATTGCTGAAAGTCACCTACTTCTCGATGCTCAGAAGCTAGGCAAGGGCTAATGGAACTGACAGATGCTGAACATTGTATCAAGGAAAGCCCTACATTTTTAAAGGGCAAATCTCAGTGAAGCTCTCTCATAGTGAGGCAACTCACTGTTTACCAAGCCAACTAAATGCAATTCAGTACTTGAATATTTGCATTGAAATAATTATTTAAAGGAAATGTAAATGCTCAGTGTAGTTTACAATTCAGAAAAAAGCCTGGGTCCTGCCACGTTCCCACATGCCCATACAGGAG